ACCCGGAAGACCCACACCAGCCATCGTATGCCGGCCGTGAAAACCTTCGACAATACATTCCAAACTAATGGTTTGATAGTTTCTAATTAACTAAAACTTCATTATTTAAATGAAATTACCCCAAACAGTTTCAAGGGCATGATAGGAATACTGTATTAATTATTGAAATAACAGACCTAGTTCTGATTTCAAACTGATTTTAGAAGCTAGATTTAGATGTTACAGTTTAGGGCATCAGAATTCATGTATGATTGTCAGTATGTTTGTGCTGCTGTTCATCTGTTGATAAAGTAAAATGCTCATGGTTCTCTCCCAGAAAATTATTAGAGTAGTTCTATATTTTGGGGGAGTTGATTTAGAATTATGTGGCTGATGCTTGTAGTCATGCAGAGAAACAAACATGTATGTGACTGGCAGTACTAGATAATGCTAATACTGGAGATAATTGTCATGGGGTGCAGAAGCAAAAATAAAACTGATCCTGTCTTTCAGGTTATATAACCAGATCAACTAAAACTGGTAAAAAGGTCATAATTTACTGTATGCATAGTTATACCTGAACCATTATTATATGTTGAAATGAGTTATATATTCTAATGAGGGTTAAGACTTTTGTAGTAATCTACGTTTGATTAAAATTTAATATTCTATTAAATTAGAAATTATAGAAGCATAATATGCAGATCTGCAATTTACAGTTATGCGCCTGGGAAAGTATTCTAGTAATTAATTAAATAGAAGTTCACTAGGGTGTGCAATGATAACTGTGAGTTCTAGTCCCACCTTAGGCATGAAAGCTGGCTGGGTGACTTTGGGTCAGTCATTCTCTCTCAGCCCATCCCATCTTACAGGGTGGTTGTTGTGAGGAAAATAGGAGGAGGAGGAAGTATTACATATGTTTACTGTCTTATTTATATAAAAAAAATAATAAAGGAGGGATACAAATCTAATAAATAAATAAATAAAACTGTCTACCTATAAAGAAACCTATATGAAATAATTATTATAAATCCCTTTTCTGTGCATATATATCTGTTTCTTATTAATATACCAATTATACCTTGGTATTTGAGAACCTTTCTTATAGAGCTGGCAATATTAGATTAATAAAGATATAGGAATTAAAGAATTGCACATTAAGGAAACTAGCCTGTATATATCCTCTGCTCAGTTCACTAGGCTATCTATGAATGCCACATGCAAGCATTATTGTAATCAATACCTATGCTATATATATATATTATTGGATAATAAATGCATTTTCTTTAAGGTTTAGTTGAAAAACTGTGGGATAAAATTGTTTTGTGACTTTTGGTTAAAACAATTTTTGTTACCTATTTTTTACATGTATTCTTCCTTTTATTGCATAATTTTTAAACTGCATTTTGAAATAAAATACATGAGATCAGGAATAGTATTAAATGGACTGAAATAACTAAATGTCTTTCATGAGATACATGGGGTAGATTTGGCAATATCATGTTGCACATATAAGAAGTAACTTGAAGTCTGTGTGTGTGTGTCGGAACTAGTTTAAATGCAATATAGGGCAGTAATAAAACAAAGCTGTGTTTGTGTGTTGGAACCATACAGCGGTGTTCTGAACCTGTAACAGGAAGTCCTAAATGGCCCTTGAAGACCATCTGGAAGCTACAGATGGTTCAAAATACAGTGGTTCAAGCAGTAGCAGAAGCTTCTTGTTATGCCCATGTGTAATCACTCCTATGTCTGCTGCATTGGTCACCAGTTGGCTTCCGGGTGCAATTCAAGGTGCTGGTCATCGCCTACAAAGCCCTTCCTAGCATGGGGCCTGGTTATTTGAGGGATTGCCTGTCTCCAGTTGTTTCTGCCCCTCTGGTGCTTTCAGGCAGAGTGGGTGCATTCCAGAACCCATCAGTTAAATGCCATCTTCTTATGGGACTTAGGAAGCATGCTTTCTCTGTCGCAGCTTGTGCCCTCAGGAATAGCATCCCCCAAGAGATAGGCGTGGCTCCTACTCTCCTTGGTTTCTGGAAGTCTCTTAAAACCTGGCTGTGTTCCGGGCCTCAGGTTAGGGTGGATGTGAAGCTCCTATTGAGTTTTTGCATGTTGGGGAGTGTTGTTTTCTCTGGGCAAATGTGTGGTTTTTAATGTGTTTTTTAATCTTACTTACTTACTTACTGGACTTATTGTACACTGCCCAGAATCTTCTTGGAGTTGGGACACCTTAATAAATCCAATAAATCTAATTAAATCATATTCTTTTCCTACTTTAATGGGTAAATGGAATGGATATTACAAAAAAATCAGGGAGAGGAAAAAAGGAGGGTTCGTATCCATGAGTATTTAAGTGGCAGAACTAGACACATTTTGATTATGACTGACATTATGATTAAAGGAAAGTTTTTGACTTAACTAATGGTCTCTTATATAAGCATGTTTAACATATTTAATTTAAATTTGAACTAATAGTCATAACAATGATTCTTTACACCATAAAATTATCTACTGTAACTAAACATAAAGTGTTTCGTAACTTTACTTGGATTGGTCATGGAGCAGCTTAGAAAGCAGAGAATCTGATCACATTTTAAAACCTGACCTGCTGTACAGTTCTGCATGCCATTAAATATTATGACATTCAGAATCCATGTCCTTGTAGTCTGTTGTCTTCCTTATATCAGAACCCCATTTTGAGATTGGTTTGGACTATTTCGTATACTTTAAGCGCTTGGATAAAGTGACAAACTGAAATGTTGGAAATTTGTAGAGCCAGTGTTTTATCCAGATTTTCATCATGTTGAACAGTTTTTATTGGCTGGGGGAAAAGGAGCACAGAGACAGAGTCTAAGATCTGATCTGTATGACCAGTTGGTCCAGTGGTGGTATAGGCTAATAAGCATTTTTCAAGGGTAGGAATGCACAGTGTTGTCTTCTGCCTGCCTCCCAGTGTACCAGGAAGGCAATTTTTTCTGCTACACATCAAATGTGTAGGCAAATGTGTGGGCTTTGACTTGCGCTGGCGCAAGTGGCGCTGTCCAGTTCACCTGCTGCACTTCATTTCATGGTAAGCAAATATGTCCACTTACTGTGCTCTGTGGCAGGAACCCCCCATCTGCTCCAATGACCGGTTGTTGCCTTCTAAGGCCATTTGGTCTTGAACTCTGGGCTACCCGCTCCCTTCTGAAGGAACCTGACCAGTGAATCTATGTTTGTATGCTTGTTTTCTTCTTGTGCCTGGTGCACTGATGAAATGCTGGAGTTTTGCTTTTGTTTTTAAATAAACTCATTGTGGAACAGTGGAATGCTAAGACTTTTTTTTTTTTTTTGACACATTCACTGCTAAAAGGGTGAAATGGTGGTCCTAGCTTTTTTCTTTTTTTAATCGTGTGAAATTGCCAAGAATTCTACCAGTTTCTCCTTCTAGCCTAAGTATCAATAAAAAGGGTTGAGCTAAATTTTATTTTTCTTCCTTTCCTTTTTTTACAAGTTCACCAACAAAGCTTTGAAACAGTGGATCTTTTTTAACCAGGTAAAATTGACAAGAGTTTTGCCAGTTTCACTTCTGAGCCCAAGTGACAAGAAGAATGATAGAACAATGGGTTTTTTTAAAAAAAACAAACACTTTTTTTAACCAGTGGGCACACCAGATAGGCAGGGAGGTAGCATGGCTGCATTATACAAAAGTCAGTTAATAGAAGATAATATCATCTACAGTCCAACCATGGAAAAGGAAACACTTGGTCCTTGCTTTTCCAGCATGGTTAGAAGGGGTACACAGACAGGAAAATCCACCATTTTGAGGGCCATGGTAGGCACAATTTGGGCAGAACATTAGACCATCACCCTGCTCAAAGCAGAAGAAAGGGTTGAAATCCAGAAAAGGATTTCTTAAGTCATTTTCGTCTCAAGCAGCTTAAGGATGCAATGCAGAAAAGTCCTAAGAATCTGTTGGGATAAGGAGTACTACTAGAAATATGGGCCTTGTGACACCATAGGATAAAAATGAGTATGATTAGATTCATAACCTGATTAATTATAGATTCTTCTGGTAGGAAAAACATCTGACAGTTTGGTTAAATGAATCTAGCTTTCTATCCATACTTTTTCTCTGTTCTTGGGTACTCTTATTTGATTTCTGCTCTGTTACTGAAGTGACAGCCTAAGTTCTGTTTAAAATAATCAGTGTAGAATATGCTCCACCTCCTTCCTTTCTTTTTCTTGCTGAGGATAGAAGTCTGTGTTAGGATTCTGTACCGATACCAGACCTGCAGTTACTCATACAAATTATACAGACATGCCTTTTTGAAGCTGCAGTGTTGGTAAATGTTGTATTTTGGTAAGCTTGAGTTTTTGTTTGAGAGGCATGTTCTTTCATGTTTCTTGTCATGACTGAGCTCTCTAATGATTTGGCAACTAGATTATTTATGTATTATTTGCCTGAAACAAACCATGTATCCATATGTATTTAAGCAAAATGCTTGGAATCTGCAATTTGATGCTATAAGGAGCTCAGAGATCCTTTTTGAACAACGTCTTGCTGAAGACTATATATCTCCTGAATTCTTTGCTTGATTTCAACCAGTATGTGGATTGTGGTACATTCCAGTAATTTACTAATAGTGATGTATTTTCTTAATATAATTTGTAAGATTTCCATATAACTTTAAAAAGTAAGCCATACAATTGCTTATTATTGGCATGAAGATAATCAAAGCTGCCACTTAGAATTATATAGAAAAATATTTGGCTTTTACGGATTTACCTGTGCTCATACTTAGAAAAATTATTATTATTACTATTATTTATTAAATTTGTCCCTGCCTATCTCCCCCCAATGGGAGAAAAATGATGAAATAATGCAGAAGCAAATATGATACTGCTAATTTGTATTTTTAATTTTGTTGATTTGTTTGAAACATTTCAGCTCTATGTGTTTTCAGATCATGCTTCCTTTTTGGGTTTTTTGTTTGTTTGTTTGTTATACAGGATGAGAGAAAGTTGTTAGTATATATTTCCCATTAAGAATGAGTGGCAATTTTAACTCTGTTTAACTCTGATTTAACAATATTGTAGTTGATTTTACTATCCATGGATTGATACAAATGTATATTAATTGGCAGATAATTTTACTATCCCTAGAATATTATTGTCAGGAAGTAATTGGGAAGTAAGTTTGTACAGGTAGTCCTCAATTTATGACCATTCGTTCAGCGACCATTCAAAGTTACAGTGGTGTTGAAACATTGGACTTATGACCAATTCCTGAAGTTATGGTCGTTGCAGTACCCCCACAGTTGCTTCATCACAATCTGGATGCTTGGCAACCTATTCGCACTTACGACTAGTTGCCAAGCACCCTACAATCATGGGATCGCCATTACCAACCTTCCCTGCCAGCTTTCCACAAGCAGAGCCAATGGGGAAGCTGGCAGGGGAGGTCACAAGTCACTCAGGTAAGTCTCCCCCACCCATCCCGGCCTTTCTTTGCTCACTCGCAACACTGTACCCTCCTTCCCCCTTCGTTTGCTCACACGCACCAGTGCCCTTCTTCCCCCTTCCTCGCTTGCTTGCACCAGCGCTCTTCTTCCCCCTTCATGCTCGGAGTTCATTTTGCAAGCCATCACGTAAAACTTCACTCCCCTTCATTCGTTCACCCAGCTGCCTTCTCTCCCAGTTCCCCACACCGACCTTTCGCCTTTTGCATCCAGCCACCATGACCAAAGCACAAGCGCCTCACTGCCTTTGCTGTCTCCTTTTTGGACTTGCAGCTGCCATGCTATCCCAGGCACCCCAGTTTCCTACACCTGGCTCCCTTAGCCAACCCCCAGGGCTTTCCCATTAGGCAAAACCACTTCCTGCCTTCCCCATTGGCTGGCATTCTTATTTGCACTGCGGTGCTGGGCCAGGCTGGGGAGCTTTTGGCTTTTTTTTTCTGCAGTGTGAAGCAGAAGCCCAGCCCAGCCCTGCCCAGGAGCATGAGGCAAAGGGGCGTTTTGGTGTGCTGTGCTCCAGGAGCTTTTTGCAAAGGGGCTTTTTGGTGCCCCACGGCTCTGGGGCTGCTTTTGGCTTCTTTTTTTTTTTCTTTTCACAGCTAACGCTCAGCCCGGCTTGGCCCAGCAGCCAGGCCGGGCACGCCTTGTCAGCAGTGGGAACAAGAAGACGGCAAAGGTCAGCAGAGCATAGGGTGGCAGGGATCTCAGAGTGCAGGGTAGTGAGGGCAGCTGCAGCTTCCCAGGGTGTGGCAAGCAACCCCAGGGCCGCGCAGTTCTAGGGGTGCTTGCCACCCTGCGAGGCAGGGTACAGGATGGCCAAGAGGCAAAGATGGGGGGAAGATAGGCAGGTTGCGGGGGGAAGTTGGAGGCAGTCCCTTACCTTACTGAGGCTCGAGGCTTGGAAGGACCAAGCCTGGAATGGCATGGATTGGGGTGGGTACTCACTTAACGACCCGCGATTCTTGGTTAACAATGCCAACTGAGACTGCTGGGATTGCGGTTGCTAAGCAATGCAGTCACATGACATTACGACCACACTGCTTAGTGACAGAAATTCCAGTCCCAATTGTGGTCAAAAGTCAAGGACTACCTGTAGCTGCTACTATTATAATTTATATTAAAAATACTGTTTCTTTTCAGATAACTCATTTTTCTGTTATTTTTAAATAATCATATTTTGCTCTTCAATTCTCGGGGTAGCTAACACTAACTAAGGCAACACTAATAAATATTAAGATACAAAATACTGTGTAATCTGGCAAACAGATGGAAGTTAATGAAAGTTGTAGTCTAGCAGGCACTAGGTTGAGTCTAATGAGGTGACACATAATGTGTGCAAATGTGCTTAATATCTGGAGAACATTAATGACAGCCAGATGTTTTTCACATAAACATATAGGTCAGAGAAGGGCAATCCATTGTCTGCATTTGGCCTCATAGCCTCTCCTTTAGTTTCCTCAGAGCACCTTTGTGCTATTGATGTTACTGTTTTTGGTTGCAGTTTTCTATATTTTTAGCATGGGCAAAGTAGGTGCATTATTTTTTTAAGCTTAAGCAATAAAGTGGTGGGAAAAATATCCATTTCTATTATAGGAAGATTTTGTGTATATTATATTTTGTTTTATTTCAACTAGATTATTTATGGCAAAACCCCTAAAGTCTCATAAGTGGCATGTATGTTGATTATTTTAATAATTTAACCGTTCTTTATATAATTACAGTTCTGGCTGGATCCTGCAAAGACTCTTACAGAACATAAGGAACTCATAAATAGTATGTATATAATTTCAACTTTATAAATATTGTTTAGTGACAGAGAGTAAAAAATACATCTGGAAACCCAATCTTTTTGAGAAATCTGACACTTTTAAATTCTTGTGAGATTATTCTGTATGTAGAAATATTGATCAATCTCAAAATTGAATATACTGATTTGAATGCTAAAACTTATTTTTTCACCTGTATACAAATGTTCTTGTTTGAATGGTGTTCCTATTTTTTTCTGGTATGCATATGAACAATTGTTGATACCTTATGGTTCCTGCCAAAGAAAATCCAGTGGAAATTTTGCAGTTATATTAATTGTATATGCTAGGATATATTGTTGGTACAATTTTTACATCTGAAAATTAATTGGAACACTCCAGTGCAAATGGTTTCTGAATGGTGTCCTAAGAAAAAAATGGGAAGACAGTTTAATAACTGTTATACAACCAAAATTATGTATAGGAGCAGGTGAATGCTTGATTCAGTAAGGTCTCAAAGAAAAGTAATGTTCTTCAAAGTATGTTCAGATAGAAATTCTATGCTTATGCATTTAATTTTTATATAGTTTTCTTATTTCTAATAGCTGGCCCACCTTACACATTGTATTTTGGTGTTAAATACTATGCAGAAGATCCATGCAGACTAAAAGAAGAAATCACCAGGTATGATATTGCTCTTAACAAAAAAAGACTCAATATAATTTTAAAGGAGATTGAAAATTCACTATATTTGTTAAAGAGAGAAGGGAAAGGAAAAATATTGAAGCTTTGATTTACTTAAACAAAACCTTATTTTACAAGAAGTGAGAAATAGCTTAGTCAAATAACTTGAGTGTCAATGAAATTGCAGTTATGTTCAACCTAATGGGTCTTAACTTTATATGTGTAATGTCCAATGTTTTGTACTGATGATTACACTGTTTAGTATATTTTACAGTTGAATATATTTTACAGTTTAATAGATTTTATTCTGGTTTAGTAGCTGATAAATGCAACAGAAGGGGATAAATATTCTACATGAAGGGGAAAAAAAGTATTTTGTGAATGAAATTTAGTAGAATATATAGTCATCAGTTCTGCTTTAATTAAGGAAAATATTAAACAAGAAATGTTCTTGAATGTGCTGAAAGCACATGGAAGCATGTACTATTGAAAGAAACATGGATTTCAGAAAAAGAAATCAAGCATTCTTTGCGATGGACATGGTGTAAATTGCCAGGATTCTAAATGCTAAGTCAACATAAGACTTGATCCTTCATTAGTAAATCTAGAGTACTCACCAGGGGAAGATGCAAGGTGAGTCCTACTCCCACTAGCATTATTCAGATGATACTGATTTTCTGCAGATGGTTGTGACTTCTATGCAGCTGTTTGCCGAGGGAAACCCTTTGTAGTGTGATGTGCATTGACTGTAGCTTACCTTACGTTATCAGGATCAACAGCTTCACACATAAGGGCTTTTTTTCTGCAGGCAATTACAGTTGAATCCATGAATATCTGTAGGAAGCCAATGTCATTTCAGTCATATTAGTTGAAGTCCGGCTTATATGGAGTTTATGCTTTGTGAATGTTTCAAATTTAGTAATGCAGGAATCAGACATGTCTCAAAGTGATCTAAATCAGATGCATATTAAGGCTATTAACTATATTAGCAACTTTGGCTTCATGTTAATTATATGATATTCGTATCATACAATTCATAGTGCCATATCAATCAGTCAGTCAAATATTTATTTCAATCATAGACCAGCATAAAATACAATCAAGAAAAATTACATTCATCTCAATAATAATACTGAAAATTATGAGATAAAAGATCATTAAAAGCTAAGATTGTCAACACAATATTGTAATGTAACACTAAGGTCTCTCTATAAAAATTCTTAATACTAAGAGCATGGACTGGTGGGGGGTGGGTCTGAAGGCTACAAAAAGGATGTCAAAGCAGATAAAGGTTTTAAATAATAATAAAAAAAGAGGAATTCTCAATAAATTTACCCATGTCCAGTACGCTTAATTTCATAGTACATTTGAAAGGGAAAAATATTGTTTCTGAACTAAAGATTTTTTTAAAAAATTGATTAACTATTGATAATATGTGAAGTTTTCATTTCCTAATTTAGGGATATATAGGTTATTTTTATTTGGTCTGGTTTTTTTAGTGAGATGATGATGATGATGATGATGATGATGATGACGATGATGATAGACCCCCAATGAGGCACTACTGTGATGTGGCTGTAGGGCTTGTGTGCTCCGAGGAGGATGAGAGCTATGCCACAGGTTCAACCAGAGTGGATTGGTCTCATCAGAGGAGCCAGACGAAGAGTGTCTCTCCCATAAACAATATGGTGAGATGTAATTTACAGAAACCTAAATTGGTTGTCACCCGGGTCAACAAGGACTGCACTAAGTGTTCTAGCTCCTGGACATCTGGTGACAAATGGGCTACAGGACTCAGGACTGTTGGCTGAGCAACCAGGACCAGCAGCTGCAGGACTACTGGAAGAAAAGTTATTTACCCGTCGCAAGTATACGAAGACTGAAAACAAAGAAATAATCTGCTATTACAAATCAAGTCCAATGAGAAGAGGATATCTGAAAACAATGCACCAGTTCTGGAAAGAACGACATCCAGAATCAGAAATAACACAACAAAGGATAGCAAATCAACATCAATTTATAATACACAATAAAGTATTCACAGAAGTAGAATTGGAACAACTGCAAAGGTCTACTCAGGGCAAAGAAATTAAAGTCTTGCCAGAAGTAGCTCAGACTGTAGAGGCAAACCAGGGGGAGTCGGCAGTAAAGGAAGCCAGCATAGCTATTGAATTGTTTTCATTCCCAAACCAGGCACCCTATCCTCTGCCTTCTCGTCAGAAAAGACAAAGACCTCTAACTAAAAAACAAGAGGAATTGAAACAAAGAATAACTGAGCATCTAAAACAGCACAAAAAGAACAGAACAAGGTTGCCTGCATTGAAGCTTGTTATAAAGAAACAGCACAAGTATTAAAAGATGCCAATACTGTAATATCAAACATAAGCACCAACTCATTGCAAGAAACAAGCCAACTAATGTACAGCACAGCTGCAGATATAACTTGAATATCTTGGATGCAAAATCAACAAACAAGAAAAAAAAGGAAACAGTGCATCACCAAAATGGAAGATCAGGTTGGAAAATAAGATCAGCATGCTAAGATCA